ATTTAGCTTAAGACTCTTATACCTCCCTTAAATTAATTAAGTAATACTTAATCATTCTATTTATAAATACCTCAAAATCCACGCTAATTTAAATATTAATTAAATATAATAAAGAGGTATATAAGCCAGTATATAAGAAGTCTATTAAGTTTAGTTAATAAGATAATTAATTAGATATTTAAGGTATATAAAATGACTGCAAATAATCTTATACTTTTAAGAAAAGAAGTTTATAATTTATAGGTTATACATGAGAAGAAGAAGTAAAAATATAGATAATTTAAAAAGTAGATAGAATATAAGTAAAGAATTACTAGAAAGGAAATTTAGATGCTTATATAAAATTAGATTAAGATATCTCAAAGTATTACTACTGCTCTAGTTAAGCCTGAGCTGTCAGTCTCACAAGTGATTGTATGCTACCAATTTAAGTATAGTAAGTATAGTATTCTTAGGTATAGAAGGCCTTAATGCCCTTATTATACTAGTAATTAGTTTTTTTATATATAATTATTATTTTGGGTTGAAAATTGTGATTAGAAATTCATATAGAACGCGTTTCCGGGCGGAGGTGGCCGGGTCGCTTACATGGCCGGGTGGCTTACCGGTTACGTTAATTAATTCATGCTTAGTAATTGTCCAGCTCCACATTTTAGTATAGTCATGGGATCTATCAGTCACGTGACCTTCATTACTAGACGCACATATCAGCCAATCAGAGGTTGAGAAACATGGGCGGTAGGTGTAATTTACAAATCAAACAACACTAAACTTGAAAAGGGGGTTTTGGCGGGCATGTTCATTTAGTCCGCCGTAGATACGATGATTACGGTGTTGTTATGGTAATAATTGAAGCCGATTGGCGCCTAACAGGCGCGCTGTTTTACGTTGTCATTACCTCCACTAGTGCGGTAACGCCCATATTATTTATGCACTTATGTACATATTCATTTCCTTATCATCAAAGGCAGCTTGGGCTCCGCAGGGGCCGTTACCTGTTCCTGAGAGGGTCAAGTGCGGCTATGCAGGGTACGTACGGAGTACTCCGTAGTGGCTGCTTTGAACCTGCTGATCTGAGTTTTCTGGCTCTTTTGTTATTAGCTTCTTAGTACTTACGGTAGAGACTAGAGATCTTTGCACTAGAAAACTTTCTGAGATATGATCTTTACTATTAGCCTTTAGGTTGCCGCGATGTTCCCGGATTCCGTACTCCGTACAAAGTGGAGTTAGTATATTTGCCAGTAAAAGGATAGTGCGTAACAGGCTAACAGGCTACAGCGTTCTAGAATCCCAGTTTGATGGGAGGCCTCGGCCAATATGTAAGGGGGAGAGAGAGTGGGCGAGAATTCTTAACTACATACGGAGTAGTCGACTACGTAGGCTCAGGGGCCTAAAAGTAGGATACTCTAGGATCCCTCCGGGGGTCAGGATCAGAAGCAGAACATATTCTCACACAAGAGCAATCAAGATCATACACGCACATACACTTAAATTATCCTCATACATTTTACTAAGAAACTCGTTCATATCCCTGGAGATTCCACATTACAGAATCTCCCACCCGAGATTGATTCCTGCGCACGGATAATCGGCCCGGATCAATCCAACAAGTGGTATGAGATCAATCTGAATCTTGAGTATCAGTTCATGCTAGTCCATGTCTTCAGTCTAAACTCTAAAGGCCGGTACCCACTGTTGACAACCCGAGTCAGCACCTAGGTAAGATTCTTGATCACATACCTAGGTATTTATATATTGCATCATGTCTTTTGTTTCTCTGCGTGTGAAGTACAATTGGCATCTGCTGGAATTTAATTCAAGCCGTTTATCGATATCCAATTGACCAATTTGTATGAATATGTGAAGAGACGACACAGCGAGGCGCCCGAATGGCGCCCTGACCGGCGCCAACGTCCTTGCATGTACAACACAGCAGGTCTTCGTAATGCTGGTACGCATCGCTACTCGTCATTTCTTCACAAAACCTCTTGATGAAGCTATCTACGGTGCCCTGAACTTCTGGATATATACATTGCAGTCTCTCGGCAAGAAGGCGAAAACTTTCTCAGAATGGACTCATATGCAGAAAACGAAGAGATCGGTTACTCTCCGCGTGAATCTGAGGATTTGCTGAAGAGGCTGGCTCCCGGGTCTCCAAAGATAAATGAACAACGTAGAAATACTAGTCGAATTTTCATATTGGCCGGTATCGCGCTTGTGGGCTGCGTGGAGTTGATCTTTTTTCTGGTCTTGCTTGTCCACGGCGGAGGAAGGAATCAAATGCCGTCGTTGTTAGGGGAGCTCAACGGACTTGTCCCGGAATGTACGTGACACGCAGAAGATTTCATGGATTCTAAATCCATAAATCCTTGAGTTGACGCTGAAATTCGTGAACGCAGTTCGCCCTCAACCTGTTCTTTTCCGCCCTGATCCACTAGCAACTTCGGATCACACCACTGTTGATTCAATCAATGCAACCGAAGAAAATTGGCTCAAATATATGCCTAGTTAGTATATCTTCCCATGAATTACACGTTAAGTTGCTGATGTAGGTGTTGATCATAGGAGGGAATGGTTTCATAATTCTAAATGATGGCGAGAATTATCAACTCCCACCACCGATAGAGAAGTCTGGAGAACATGTATATTCTCTCGCTGTTACCCATCAACTACACTGCTTGGTATATATCATTCATTACGCCCCCTTCAATCTTTATGTGTCTGTGTGTGTCCTCTAACTGAGCTCAGTATTCAATCATGCGGACCTTCGATGATCTTATCGATGGAGAGCAAAGCAGTTCAGGGAGAAATGCGCATAAGCATATTGATCATTGTTTCCGCTATCTGCGACAATCATTGCTATGCTGTGGCGATACTGCCTTTGAGGGGCAGGATCTCAATACTACCCTGCCGTCTACCGATGGGACTGGTGCGATTCATATGTGCAAAGACTATGACGCGATTTTGAGATGGGCGGAAGGCCAGAGTGTCACAAATAAGAAACATATGTAATTCTCTGCCTAGTCAACATTGGAATTTGGTATACAATTTGGTATGCGCCGATATCCTCCATGGGCGGTCTCAGGGCTTCTGCGTTTCGCTCAAACCAGAGTACCAACTGTCAAGGTGTCACAACAATTCATAGTAGCCATCGCTATATAAGCAAGGAAACACACAATTATTCTTCGCAAGTTTCCATTAATTCCCTAAGATACTATATTCTCCTCTTCAAAATAAGGATTGTATTAAACAATGGCAAGATGTGGCGATGAAAAACGCTGATTCCAACGACTTTCCGTATAGGCGACGTAATTGGAACTGCTTGCGAAAGATTGTAGCGCAGCATTAGTAGGCGCAACCTGGCGCCTGATATTGCGCAATATAATTATTAGGATCAAGACATAGCTTTCAGGCTAAGTTATGAACAGTTAGCCGATTTCTGGAGCTCGCCAAAATGGAAATATGCTTCCAATTGTAGAGCAAAAGAACCAAATTGAAGCCTTTCGTATTTTTACTACACATGAGCAGGTTGATTCAGCGACCTAGTCTTGAAGTTTTGCAATAATCCGACAGTTCCTGTCGTGAGACCTGGTAATAATCCACATATTACTTATTCGTCTTTTGCTATGATTTCAGACTCGTTTGACGAAACCATGATGAACACTCCGTCCCATTTTTTTGAAGATGAGAAAGAAAATCTTCTACAATCCTCACAGGGTCGAGAGAGAAGGGCAAAAAGAAAGTTTACTGCCCTTCACTACATCGTGGCCATACTGGGCTTGTCAAATATAGTCCTATTTGCGATTATATTTGTATCGCAATTTCACGAAAGGAGAGCTATAGATAAATCTTGGCTTCCTCCGGAGAGTGAGTTCTGTACAGCAATACGTATTTAATTCTGTCACAATGCTCATGGTTCTACAATCGGAAGACGAATCTACAGCGCTTTTCGAATACCACGGGATATTCGCTCAACCCCCTTCACCAGAAAGCGACAAGGCGTGGGAAGAACTAATGCCAGGCAAGACTGTCTTTGTACCATTTGCTAAGGACAGTTCAGCTAACATAAATGCTTAGTGGGCAGAGGATATGTTCGGGTGCAAAATGATACTGCGCTTCCCAAACTCCCTGGGCTCGACCAGTCCCTAACCGAGCAACGAGCTATAATCGCAACATCCACCAGATACATTGTCTAGTACGCACTCCAGATTCTATTCTCCGTCAAGTATCTATCATATGCTAATTATTTGAACGCAGTACACTATTCGAGATGGCTACTTCGGCCTGCGAGAGGGTAACCCGGACAAAGTACCACCTGGGCATATGCTTCACTGCTGGGACTACTTGCGACAAGCCATTATGTGTTTTGCAGATACGACATTAGAATGGTTGCCGGCACCTCCGAATGATAATGGCACGACAGGCTGGGGATATCTGCATCAGTGCAGGGACTATCAGGCCATATTTCGTTGGGCAGAAGAGAATCGGTTCTCTTCACATATAGGAATTCAATGAACTTGAGTAGGGAAATTAAATTGCAGCAGTATCACTTTTATCACACACGCAAATAGAGCGTTGACCGCCTTAAATACTATTCAGGGACATAGTCTTCCTAAGATCTGCGAGGTCTCTAGAGATAATAGCATAAGTAAATTGAATCCTCTTAAACTAGAGCAATTAAATGAGAAGTGTGAACAGAGAAGATAAAAGATGCTTTTGAGCTTCTTGAATGCGAGGTTTCTCCCCGCTCGGATTCCTATGTTGGAAGTAACAATAAAATTAGCGTGGGCTATAATAATTCCTATCTAGGTAGTCCATATCAAGAAAAGAATTAATTAAGTATTGAGTACTTGGGTGAATTGAGCACAGAACTAAAGTAAGAATCCTTCACAACTTCCACTTATATTCTAGGAGACCCGGAAATGCAGCAACAGACCAGATAATATTGACTTTGTGCTATGGTTATCTAAGAGTCTGAGTCAAGAGACACGAGATCCTACTCAATTTGGAATCACATAGTCTTTGACGGTTTCCTCGCGTTTGTTGGGGATCACATAGTCTTCGACGGTTTCCTCGCGCTTGTTGGGGATCACATAGTCTTCGACGGTTTCCTCGCGCTTGTTTGGAATCACATAGTCTTCGACGGTTTCCTCGCGCTTATTGGGGATCACATAGTCTTCGACGGTTTCCTCGCGCTTGTTTGGAATCACGTAGTCCTCGACGGACTCGGGAGCCTCGTGGCGCTTGGTAAGATCCTTGGCCTATTTCTAAGTAAAAGCGTACACCAAAGTAGATTTTGTCGCCTATACTTACCTGCAATGTTGGGGCGGAATTGGCGATAGTAGCTAAGGTAATAGCCAAAAAGTATGCCACACTTGCGGAGAACTTCATGTTGCGAAATTGTATAACGGTCGTTTTATCTTCGATGAATATGGAAGGTGTTGTAATTTGTTGCTACCTAGGTTCGTAAATAGTAATGGTTATGAGTGGAAAAATTGACAAACATCAGGCCTGAGCTACGATATATATTGTGAGGCGAACGTGTTGTATTAAAACGTTAAGTGGGTATCTACCTAGATACTCGTATTGTTTGACACCTCACTCTAGGAATCACCGTATTCCGTGGCGTATCGCCAGAGCGAGACGCGAGAGAGTAGCGAGGCGCAGGCGCCTTCGAAATGTTGTTCGAACTTAGGCAATATTGGGAATGAAAAGCTTTGCGCTTACGCAGTGGTCATTGTTATATATATATCTGTCTATATTGCAACTAACAAGGTGTGGGGGGAGGCAGAAAGAAAGTATATTGGACTTTGACCCAATGTGCTTGCAACAGATATTTTCTTTTTCAGAAAGGTCTTTGTTATATGCTGATGTCCTCTAGATTAAGTATTTGCAAATATCTTGTCGAGTGTTCAAGTATGTATTTTTATTTTACTTTGAGTTAACTGATTGATATAAAGTTAGATCATTGAGGTAGTATAAGTATGATTAAAAGAAGAAAACATTTAAATGCTGGTTGTGTAGTGGTTTGATATAACTAGAGAATTTATCCTTTCTCATGACTGACGTGTCTACTTTCCTCCAAACATCCTCCACTATCGAATTCAACTTTGGCAAAGTACTCTGTAGATATCCAGCCTTCTTGGAAGCGTCTGCAATAAGCTGGCGAAACTGCTGTCTCTGTGAGCCTAGACAGAGAACGGCTGTCACATAGAAAGGCCAAGCGAGAAGTCGGAGATCTGTCAGTGATGGATGAGTATCCCAAGCGGCAATTGCTCGGTCCATTGCTTGCTGGATTTCTGGTACGCCAGGTGAGTATCCTGAGACAATGGTATTCAAATGAACTAGAACAGCGTGGGCGAAAATGTAGCTATGCACATGCGAGGATAGTAGATTAGACGGAGGAGGATCTTGACCGACGAGCTCAGCGAGCTTCTGAATACCTTGTTCTAGCACGGACTCGATTTTTTCCGATCGCCCTACCAGGCCTCGTACACTCAGATGACCCTGCGCCTCTTGTTCTCTCTTCCAATTGGATAACTGGGTGGCATCCAGAATGCTACACAGGATCCAACTCTGACAGGAAACTACCTCTTCAAACTTGAAACTCAAATGATCGTCACGAAGAATGACCTGATAGGCCGATGTGTTAGACGGCTCCGTGGCATTTAATGAGCAAGAAAGTATATCGTTCCACACAAGAAGAGATCTGTAAAATTCTAAGGCCTCGCGCTCCATCGGCGATGAACGGCAGATCAAGTCCGGTGTCTGAAAAGGCTGAGAAGCAGAATGACTGGAAGGTCGTTGGGTTACGAGTAGTTGGTTTTCATGCTCGAAAAAGGCATTGTCATAAAGGGATTTCAGAGCAGATGAGAGGTACAGTCGACAGTCTTGGGAATTATCACCTAATGCCTAAAAACAATTAGCACTGGACATCACGTTCTACCGCAATCAAAGGGAGAAGCCCTTGCTCACCTCCAATATGGCAAGTTGGACGAAGCAAATCATTTCTTCTTCAGCAAGCCGGAATGCAGGGGCCGATGATTGATGGGCTTCTCGCAAGTCAGCAAGGCGACGAATAGCTAAAGTTCGATAGGTTTGATAATCTTGATAAGGTATGCCGTTCACGTCTGGATTAGAGAAATTGGAGAGTTGGTGAGATTCGTGGTAGGCGCTCATACTAAGGGATGCGTAATAAAAAGGAGCGGATCGCATAAGTAGCAAGAGAAGCCAACTGCGCTTCATGAGAGATGTAGGTTGATAACCAGAGTGTAACAAAGAAAATGTATCCCCCATGAAATGCATCAAATAACGTAATTCGTGCTCGCTGTTGGCCGCTTGCTCGTTACTCGTCCTCGAGGGAAAACATATTAGTCCCGGCCCGGACTGAGGGACAATAGGTAATTCCACAGCGCCATTATTGAATTCATCAGAGCTCGAAGTAAAAAGGATATCAGTAGCGAGTACTGGTGGCCCCCAGAAGTCGCCGGACATACCTAGCCCCCCAAAGTTCCCTATATTAGGCAGATCATCTGAAGGAGAGAGACAGGGTCTAGAAAGCTCTCCTTCACATGCAACCGCAGAATCAGGCGAAGGCCTAAGAAAGGAGGCCAAAGCAGGAGAGCTACTGCTACTACTTTGCGACGTCAATAATTGGGTTCTTCGTGATCGTGTTTGCATGTGAAGTTGCCGAGCCTCATCTCGCTCTTTCTCTCCCCTATCCTTCCAGGGCGGTTTAGGCCCATATCCGTGGCAGAACAAGCCTCTAGCCTCGCAATTTCCGCAAGGAGGACTGCCCTCATCGCACTTCTTTCGGCGTGTTCGACACGTCCAGCATCCATTTTTGCTCCGTTGACCGGCGGACATCTCAACATTCGCAGAGCACGGTTATGTCACGTTAGGTAGAGGTGCGCACTAGTTTAGTACTTCAATACTGTTGCTTCCCAAGAAGAATAAATATTGTTCCGGCGGATAATTCCTGAGATGATCCCTCTTTATAATTACCTGCTATCTTACCTACATGTTCACTTTAGCAAGGCTAAGACTAACCAGGAAGGTCTCGCAAACGACCAGTTATATGGCACTTTATCATATAAAAAATTTAGTGATCCAACTTGACCCTTTTTGCGGCGCTGCTCGTGTAGGATGAGCATCGGCTACGTTATTCTACGTATGATGTTACTATAGAATTAGATCCGTTTTACTACGCCGCAGATGCTTGAGTGAATTGGGTTAGTCCAAGAGTGAGATTATCTATTTGTAGCCTAGTAGTAATTATGAGCCCTGCGCCTTCGCACATACTACATAGTTAGTACTCCGTATATAGTTACATAAGTATTTGGTTATAACTTAAGCAAAGCTTTCTTCCTTGGCTTTCCGCCTTCTTTCTACGTAATTCTTGAATAACCATAATCCGTTTTAGTTATAAACATTTTACGAAGCTGGCGGTTGCAAGGATGCAGTGTGCGTGTTTGAAGCAACGCTGGCTTCCGTAGTGTGCATGAAATTTGTGTAATATCTAGGCACAAAGATACGCGCATAATATGCAGTACCTCGTTGCTGATTTTCGACCTTAGGCCACGGGCGAATTTTCACCACCCCGTACATGAAGCTATTCGGAGTTCCGCCTTACATTAGCGTAGGACTACTACGGAGTCGAGGTCTAGTACTCCGTAGTAGGCATTGAACTAGGGCCAATACAGTATTCCTTAGCCGGACGAGCCCACTCTGGACCCATTTAGCCATGTGAGACTCTATGTGTCGGCGTCTGGTTGGCCACTCCAGAGTCCTGGCAGACCAGGGATCTGGAGTGGCCAATGCTACGCTGGATGCAATGACATGCAATCTAAAAACAATCCCTGGTTCACAGCGTAGTCCTCCAATGAGGAGTAGAAGGGTTATCATTGGACTGCAGTTCTAAATTTTTAGCTCGAGTGTCAACGCACTACATAGTATATGCCCTGAAGTCTCTGCGCCTTTTTTTTATTCGAATCGCCACTTTCAGCCTTTTAGTTTAGGCGCCTGGTCGTGGCATCGGCGCAAGGTTGGCGTGTTTGATGTATTTAGACTTAGATATGTGTGTCCTCAATGGATTAGGCGCGCTCCTCTTGGGCGCCATGGAAATTTAAATCTTGTTACTAGTATTGATCATCGTACTAAACCCGGTAGTATTTCCGACTAAAAGAGAGGTGCTTCGCGTTGCCGATGTCTATGAACCTGAAAGTGTTGAACAACTGAAATCCCACTCGCCTTCCTAGCCTGAAATATGCTCTTAAATTTGAGCCAGACCATGGCTAGGATTGCACAAGGTCAGAGAAAGTATGTCCGCTTCGTGAAAGTTGAGAACACCGAGGAAGACCAATTGGTGCATGGGGCTAGCCTTGAAGCCAACAACCGAATTGAAAGAGGACCATGCCACGAATTAGGCATATTTACAGCATTCCTAGTCGAAAGCACGGCGTTATTTATACTCCTCATCTATATCATGACCGCCAGTCAAGCACCCAGTGATATGGATTGCGCTCGGCAATTATCTCCGTGGTGTGAGACTATCTAGACGCCAGAAACATTGTCATTCTTACTAAGACTGCATAGCACCATACCTCGACTCGGATGACTTGGAATACGATGAATTTCTTGGAAACAACCATTTGATGCAGCCATCTATTTACAGAGGCAAGCCAACACTCGAAATTGAGGAAGCCTGGGAAACTCTATATAACCGTATGAATTTCCATATACTTATCTCATTCGTGGTCATCAGTCTTTCGAAGACCATAACTAACAGTGGCAACACTTAGTCCCTCCCATCTCTGTTCCTGGAGAGCAACTGAAAGTCTTACAGAAAGGGCCCGAAAGCGATTATCTCCACGTTGCCCCGGAATATGGTGGAGAGGTGATGGGCTACTTAGATATTTTCCATCAGCTCCATTGCCTGGTGAGGGTTTGACTGGCTTATGTTATCTATTTTACTATTTGCTGACGTTTTTTAAGAACACTGTTCGACAGTACATTTATAGGGACGAGTATGACTATAGCAATGTGACTGCTTTTCGCGCATCGGATGAGATCGTCCGTGGTCATGTTGATCATTGCATTGAGACGGTGCGGAAGGCACTGATGTGTGCATCTGATGTAACACCTATCGTGGTTATGGTGGATGAACCTCGACCAGAAGGTCGAAAAACAGACTTTGATGTTTATCGCAAATGTCGCAACTACAGTAAGATTCAACAGTGGGCTTTAAAACATCATTCTTACCCGGAGCAATAGCTAGATTATATCAGTCAGAAATACTTACAGCTTGCAGTCGTATCACTCCACAGAAATACCTACACAATGCCCTCTCAGCGTACATATATTTATTTTCTGCACAGCGTAATATAAGATAGAGTGTGTGACTGCTATTTTACCCTACAGTAAAACTAGGTGGTCGAATATAAAGTATAAGATCAGTTCATCAAGGTGCACGTGTAGTAGCTTTTATTGTAGTCTGATATTACAACAGAACTGTCATATGGTTACAGTTTATTGCCAGGTACCATTAGTACGGAAAATAGCTACAGAATGTAGACATCATTCTAACAGCATCACAAAACTTGAATCACATCGTTTCCTCTCCCAGTCGAGATACGTAACAGCCCTTCATTCCATACCACCATTTAGCAATATTATTAAACTTGATCTAGAATTAGAGATAGCTCGTGAAAAGTACACTGTCCGCTTACTTTGTCTTTATCAGGCCGTTTCTGACTCGGGCAAAATCCCATCGAATTCATGAAGGTCTTGCTCGTTACTGGGTTTCTAAGTTAGTAAACAATCCTATGTGTGGTTTGAAGTACCTACTCTGTTGAAAAGCTTAGCATTGTCCGCTGCTGTATAATTCAGTAGATTCTGGTTCTGGTATCAACGTACACTAAGATATTCAGTTCTGTGCACTGCTCTCTTGTATTGTGTCAAATACTTACCGAGCTATCTCGCACCTTTCGCACCTCAAGGGCCTATAGACAGAAATTCTATGAATAAAGAACTATTCTGTTTATATATCAACATACTAACCGGAATAACGCCAGACCGTAATGGTGATGCGAGCGATTGAAGGGCAAGGCCCATAAGGGATGCAAAGAGCAAAAGGCCTCTCATGATGCCTAGGCAAAGAAGGATTTTTGTTAATATGTGACTGTGTCTTGATCAACGGTGTGTTCACTGAGATTCACCAGGCGCCAGTAAATTTTAGGCGCCTAGAGAATCGACCCAATTTGGCGCCGTCCGTTCTATATGGTAAAATTCAAAAAAGGAAGATAATAACCGAGCTTTGTTTGGCTAGTTACATACGTAGAGACTATATTGAATTCACCACAAGCTTGAAAACTTTTGCCGACCGTTCAAGATGAATTAAGGGAAATTAGGCATGAAGGCTATTTGTTCTCTACCTCTGGAATCCTACATCTTAATGAAGATAATAATTTCACTTTTCGTCCTTGGCTATGTGTATGATACTTTAATACCAGCTCCTAGTACACGTAGCAAAGTATTCCGTTTTGAGTATCCATCACGTCCTGTACGGGCATATCTTCGGCCAGGCCACCAATTGGCATCATATCTAATAGCGTTGATGATGAAGCCCCGTGTTCGTGATGTCGAAAATCCTCAGCCGGTCCGTGAAACTGGGCTAGGCGCATAGTAGGGTCGCGTTGCTGCCATAGCCACCAGAGTCGATCAACCTGGGCATGATGCAGAAAAAATACGGGATCTTTTGCCTTTCTCGTTAGCTTGCAAGTCAAAATTATGGTTTATAGATATCATCACCATTAGGTGCCGAAAATGTCAGAAAATCTCCCCGCACAAATTGAGGAATAGCATTATGCGCGCCGCTTTCAAACATCTTAAAGAACGACTCGTAATCCGACTGATTTAAAGTCTCCTGAACGTATTCTGGGGATATCAAGTGTTGCAGTAGCTTGATATCTTCCCGGGGCGTCTCTGGGTCATTGTTCACAAATCCACGACTCAAGCAATGGGGATTATAGCCGACATCGTGAGAATGGCCCTCGCTAATGGCACTCCAAGCCCGAGTCGAATTTGCAAATGGTCCATCGAGAACGCAGTGACCATGATGCAAGATTTCTGGGGAAGTTGAATCTCCATCTCCACCAAATCCATGATCGTTACTCCACACTGCGGAGGAAGAAATGTCGTGGGCGTCCAATGTCCAGTCCCAGTAACTGCAATGGCGCCCAGCAGACCATCAGCACTTTATTCGTTCACTATATAACCTCAATGAACGTAAACTCACGGCATTGGACCCGTATAACTGCATTTATCCCTTAGATTCTGTTCGTATATATGAATGTACATGCGATGCCATGGCAGAAATGCAGCTGCATAATGAGAGTAACTGCCCGTTTTAGAATGCGCGAAGATAAAGTCATCGTAACGTGATGTCTTCGAATTGAAGATGGACGGTTGGCTCATTAGACACTTCACTGCGATTATGTATGCTTCCTGCTCTTGGTGATTAAGAAAGCGCCATTCTTGTCTCACACCAAGCTTCTCACAGCGCGGCTTGTTATTTTGCTGCCGGCTTCAAGAGGGTCGTATTGCCAGCTTTTGTGAGCTAAGATAACTCGCTCCATTTCCAATATTTCAGAGTATTCCTGCAAAGCCTGATGACTGTGATTTAATAGCTACAATCTATTTCCAAAAGGTTGTGTAAGTTGCAAGCGCTTCGGCTCTCCTGCAGGCGCGAAGTAGGGCTCGCCTGACATACTGTATGTACATCGAAGCGCGCCACAATTGGCGCTCCAAGCATCTATTGCCGGCCTCGCTGGTTCTACTAACATCCCGGATTTTCATCGCCCAGAAATCTCGCGTAATTTTGGGAGCGATGGTAGTAGGGTAGGACTCGTGCCTGACCAACTGGTATGCATGTGACAGCGGATTATGACCGCTATTCCGAATACAGCATGTAATCCACAACCAACACCGTATTTCACAGAGGTGCATCTAATTGGCCAGAATAGGCATCAGATATATATCTTAGTTGACCCCTATTTTGATTATAAATATGGCCTTAAGTAACCCCCTGAATATTCTCTTTAGTTAGATATACAGATTATATAGTATTCTTAATACTAGCTAATATAGCGTTCCAAATCCATTGTTATAGTAGCATATCTTAATAGCATTAGATTTTACTGATTTAGAAAAGGAACTGGTTAATAGGATATAAGAGCTTATAAATAGCTAAATCCCAATTATTAAAGCTATTCTTAATCTATATATCTAAGAATTATATCTCTACTAATCTATAATTCTTGTTAAAAATAGATACTAACAATTTTATTAAAATATTATAAATTTAATATTAAAATAACAGCAATAATTTAGAAGAAGGTTAACTTACTTAAATAATTATATTAGCATGATTAGTTTAAACTGATTTAAATTAGGACAAGATAAGGAAAGATTTGGGAATATATTAATCCTAATTTTAGGAATTTTAAATTAAATAAATATCCTTCTACTTTTAATAACCTTAAGAATAAGATTAAGAAGGTTAATTATAAATAAAAAGTAGAAAAGTATAAAAAGAAGGAATAAATTTTTAAAATTATTCTTTCTTATATAAATAAGTTAATTAGTATAACAGCTCAATTCTTAATCTCTAATAAGAAAGAGATTTATAATGTATTAAAAATACTATTAATCTATTTCAAACTATTAGATTAAGAGATATAGTATAAAATTATTAATAAGTAGATTAAATTAAGATTAAGATCATTGAAAAGCAAAGACCTTATCATCTAAATATTAGATTAAGTAAAAATGTATAGTAAGATAAGAAAATTTAATATTAGTGATTTCTTAGATTTAATAAAGTAATCTTTATATAACTTTCTTAATTTTATTAAATCTAATTTTAACAGCTTTTACTAAGTCTATTTAGTGTAAGTTAAGACTACTAAAAATATTACTTTTAAGATATTAATCTTTTAGTTTAATAAAAAAATTATTAATTAAATTAAAAAAGATTCAAATTCAAAGATATATATAATCTAGAAGAGTGAGAAACCCTTTAATAAAAAAGATTTAAGAAATCCTATGCCTACTAATTAGAATTAATTAAAAGAGAATAAAAATAATAGAAAGAGTAATTAGAAAAATAACTAATCTTATTTATATATTTTTTCTAGAAATTTTTATTCTAGATAGGAAGACTACTCATATTGTAATAAATAGATTTAAGAAAAAGACTAGGTTTTTAATTTAAAGAAGGCTAGAGTAATAGCTAAGAATATTATTAAATATTCTTTTCTAATTAAATTTATTAAAGAGTATAAAGTGTAATCTTTAATAGAGTTAAAAATATACAAATTAATATATTTCTAACTAGGCTAGTTATTTATTCTAGAAAAAAGCTTTTTTTATTAAATTAGTAAGAATACATTTATAGAAAGTTTTATTTATAATAATAACTTAAAAGATTATATTTATAATATTAAAAGTTAGTTTATTATCTTTAAAGATCTTAACTTAATTATTAGCTTTATTAGTATATTAAGAGGCTAAATATTAATATATAATATTAGTGTAATTAAGGTTCTCTTTATTATACTAGATAAAATAGAATTTAGATAACTGATAATTTTTTATAATATATTATACTGCCTAGAGGTACTAGTTAGTCTTATTTCTATTAATAAGTATAAAAAAGAGAGTCTTTACTAGGATAATTATAATAATATTTTATATTTTTTAGAAAAAGATTTAGAAAGAGTATAAGTTATAAGAATCTTTAAATATTATAATTAAATTGTTATTGAATATAATAAATTGTTAATAAATATAGTATATATAGCTAAGAGATTAATTTTATACTTAAAGTAGGTTACTAAATTAATTACTTTCTATTAATATTAGCATGATTACCTAGAATATTTTAATAAAAAGGTTCTTATTTATCTTAAGAAGAATATATAAAGAATGTATATTTCTAGTAATTTTAATATATCTTTTTATAAATACTATAAATTAGTAAGAGTATTAGTCTAAATTTTATAATAATCTTAAAGAATTAAAAGCTTATCTTAGAAAATTATTCACTTTAATCTTATTTCTATTAAAAGGTTATATAATAATATAAAATATATAATTTACTTCTACTACTTTTATTTATAATATCATAAAATTATTTTTATATGAGATAAAAAGGTCCAAGGATTAATTTATAATTTCCTAAAAAGCCTTATAAGAAGAGGCTTTAATATTAGATTTACTTATACTAATAATAAGTAAGTACTAGGAAATAAATATATCTTATTCTATAGAAAAATAAATATTAAGTAAGAATATACTATAAATTACATACATAAGCAAAATAACTTAGTAAAGAGATCTAGAATATTTCTAATTACTTTTATAAGAATCCTTATGCATAAAGTGAATCTTTTATATTTATTCTAGTTAGAAGGACTGCAGTATACAGTTTAATTAATAAATTAATAGTTAAACTAGTAACTTAATTAAAAAATATCTTATAAGATTATTTAGAATTTTTATAGCTAGAATAATGTTTTATATTTAAAAATATTAAAAACTTTTAATTATAGAATATATTAAAAAATTTCTAATATTCTACACCTCTAAAAAATGATAGAATATGTAGAGATAGGATATCTTATAGGAATTAAATCTTTTAATATTTTTTAAATTTAGATTTTAAGTTAATAAGCTATTATCAGAACTTATAATATTATATTTAATAAAGATATATTTTTTAACTTATTCTAGCTAGTCTAATAATATAGTTTATAGGAACTGTAAGGCGGAATCCTGGATGGAGTTGGGAATAGCTTCAAAGTACAGCGGGCACGTGACCTCGCCCAGCTTCCCGCCGCTAATTGGACTAGTGGCTTGGCATACACTGTCTTATAACTGCGGGTGGCCTCAGGCCTTTATGAAGTAGCAATTAACTGCTAAGCATATATATATATATATTATATATTTGAATTTATTCCTAGACTAAAGCTAAATCCTAGCTATATTCTTATAATCCCTATTATAGTCTAATCGCTCACTTTGTAAGGGCTCAGCAATTATTATCTAAAATAGCTCTGAAATATATCTCTCCACATACTTAG